CTGCGTAAAATTCCAAATATACAAAAATCATTAGTCTTTGAATTAAAAACTTCTTTGAATGCTACTTTTACAGTGTTTTTGGTATTCGAAGAAATGGCAGTCTTTGGGAAAGATCTAGCGAATAAGGGAGAATTTGGCAAAATTTCAGATTCTTCACTGTGAATTGCTTTCAATAATTTTTCTCAAAACGTTATCATCAACTTCCTTGGCTCATTTCCAATGAAAAGTCACCAATCTTGAATTCTACACATCAACATTGAAATATCCTAACATTTACACAACTTTCTCCACTTTCAGTATTTTTTTACCGCAATTATTCATCACGTTAGATAATAATTTCCAACCAATTGTAATCCAAATTTGTTTACTATCTAATACACCTGCAATATAACAAATTCCTTTTTTTCGATCGTTGCGTATGAAAATTGACGATCGAACAAAATTTAATACACGGCGCAAATCCGTCAATTTCAGCAATTGAAAAAATCACGTTCTGTTTGCAGTAACTTAGTAGGTAATTGAACATTTCAGCGAATTTCTATTCAACCGCTATTCCTACGTGGACAGTGTGAAAGATGTTTGAATTCACTGTGTTTTTGATAACTTCGCAGCTACCTCTATGCGAGAGAGGGCATGATCCTTAAATCGCGAGACGTCAGAAATGCTGATCTGCAGGTTTCTGCGTCGACAGGAGCTTCAAATCGTTCCCCGGACGAAGAACTTGCACGTAATTTGTATACAACAACGCGGAATGTTGTTCGTGGCGTTGCTTTGCCAACTTGTTAGATAAATTCACACCGGCAGATATGGATCTCTTGTCGCGTTTACGCTTCGTTTTAGATTTGATAACATCGGATGTTTGTTATGAAGTGTCGCTCCGTGAAATGTTTCCTTGCTCCGCGGACTCGTCTCGAAATAGTCGACAATGTAAAAATACCGACTATATTGTCGCTTTCTGAATAAATTTACATACGGAAACGTTAATAAATTTAGATCGCGCGGATTTATATTTAGCCGCCGGATTCTGGAACATCGTGCACCGGTAAAAGAAAAAGAATCTTTCATGAGAAAGTGATGTTTATTAAACTGCTTGTTTTAAGATGACTATCTGGGGAAACTTGATTAGAGATCTGTGTAGTGAGAGAGTTTTAAGACGTACTTCGGCTCTCGTTTCAAGTGTTTACTTATCGTTATGTAATTTTTAAGTGTTTGACGCATGCTGTTTAATTAATCGTTCAAAATTTAATTGTAACTTGACACATATGTGCAGTTTTCTCGATTCTTCGTAGGGCTTATGAAATTCAGTTTACACGACTTAGGCGTGAAACGAGAGAAACGAAAATGCAGTTAAATTTGAGATTACACTGAGAAATTATTGTTAGCCAACATTATTTTAATTACAAAGTACGTAAAATGAATTAATCCAGTTTCTGAAATCCTACTACAGAAATTTTTAGATAAGAGTTATCGTTTGCCTTATTATTCATTTTACCTAGGAATTTATTCAATATTGTTCAGTATTCAACGATTTCAATATTCTACACTTTATAAGTTTCCATTTTTTAGTTCGTTTTTGTTAAGTCTTCTTTTGCTTTACGAAGAATTTTAGGTACTGGAAGAATAATTAAATTTTAACAGAAACTTTTGCTTGCAAATAAAGAAATAAACAAGTAACTTTCAGTCAAATTCGTCTTTCCTTTAACTTCTATTGTCTCAAGTGTTGTCTACTAATTACTTCAAATTTACGCAATTTTCTTAGCTTCATCGGTTATAAATAATTCAATTACCGATAGGCATATTTTCACAAGTATCAGGTGTATAAATTAATTCGGCGCCCTTTTTCACACACTTTGATACTTATTTACAAAAAAACCAAACACAATTTTAATATTCAAAATAATCTTCATTATATTGACTTAAAATCGCCATATTTTTTCAGATAGGGAATTCATCAGTTACAAAATAATCTCCATTATTTTGAATTACCTTTTTCCATTTATCGAGTAACCGACGAATTCCCTATTTAAAAAAATACAGCGATTTTAAGTCGATAAACTCGTCAAGACTTTGCGAGGAAAGGTACCGAATTAATTTTTACACCTAACAAATAATAAATCCACCCAAGAATGGAGTAAGCTTCACCTCCAATACGTAGAACTTTCTGTTCCCCTTCACATAGAGAGAGAACTTGAACCGTTCAAATTACCACCTGCTAATTACCACGAACTCATACGGTTCCCGTTTATCGCCCCACGGGTCCTGTAGCCTAATTAATAATTCGCCGATAAACGCTTCCGCGGTTGTCGCGGGGGGAGGGCAAGAATGCTAATTCGTTCTGAAATCGGGTTCAATCGTCGTTTCCGTGTCGCTTTCGAACGATCGAAAATAGCAGGTACTTACTCGAACCAGCGCTGGTATTACGTAGCCAGCAAAAGAGAACATTAATCTGTTACCGACCGCGTAGCACCAGCAATGAAATGTTTGCCTAGCTGCTCGTGTTATGTAGATTAGTTATCAGATACACTGGTTTCGAGTTCGCGCTGGAACTTCGGTACACTATTCGATCCCTCTAGCAGTCCCGCTGAGAATGTAAATTGGACATCCGCAAATTTATCGCGGTTCGTGTGTGATTTCTTCATTCTGATCCTCTCTACTAGCAGAGAGGCCTAGGAGTTTAGTTAAGAGGACGAGCGATCTTCAAAGCGGAATCATGTCGAAAGTTAATTGCTATCTCGCCAACGAATTGTCCGTTACAGACTGCGCGCATACTTTTCTCCTGTCTGGATTAGTTTCAGAAGAGGTATTCGCGAAATAAACACTGCCGGGGTCTCGTTGTTTCGTGATATTTGATAGACTGAACGACAGTTAAGGTATGCATCAGTTTAGATAGGCATCTCACCGATAAGTATCTACGCTCTGAGCAAAGATTGTACGAAGATATTAATTTTTAAGTATATCAGGAAGGTGTTTTTCTATATTTACTATATAATTATGATTTTTGAACCGTAGATTAAAAATTGATTTCGATAAGGAGTACCTACGATTAACAAGTTCTACATGTGTTTCAAAACACATATTTTTGTAACGACATGTAGATCCTAACGATCCAGCGAGAATTGTTTTTTGATCGTAATTCCTCGTATTGAAATAAATAGGTAAAATTTAATTTAAACCTTAGATATTTATAAAACAAATCTCCAAATTGTTTGCAGCAATTATTCGGTTATTGAGTAACCCTCATGGGCTAATAAATTCGATTACAGCTATTTCGATTACAGTTTTAGTATTACTATTTGATAACAATATTCATTTACAATTTACAATAAATTTTCTAACAATCCGATAACTCGAACTACCTACTTCATCTCACGTAACACCGTGTCAATAAATTGGCAACACGATATTCCAGTGATAAACCGATTATTCGCAGACTGCATGCATCCCAATCGAACTATCTTTACACCAAACAAAGCTCCGGTTCATCGTCCTCTCTACAATTAACACCACAGCTATCTACAAACCATGACATCAAAAAATCCCACCATGTTAACATCACAGGTACAAATAGTCCCAACCAAAAGCGGAAAGAGAAAAACGCGAAAGACGTGAATTGCACGCGGAGAGATCTTCCAGTCGTATGAATAAACGCGACAATCTTATCAAAAGGATAAGCATATCTCGCAGCAACAGAGTAACAAATCCACGAATCCTCACGTCCATGATCGGCGGAATACAGATATGCAGCGATCTTTATTAGCCGAATTATCCGCCGAAGTACATTCCAAGGAAACCTATCAGATGTACGATACGATTTTATTCGATGTTTCCCTTCTCGTTATGGCTCCAACTATATACCCGACCACTTTAATGAAACGCGCCTCTTAACGAGACTAGCTTCGAGCCGGACGTTTACCACGTCTTTATTTCAATCTCTTTTGCCTGTTCGATCAGCCTGTCTAATCGCAGAGCGTCGGTGGCTACCTCGGAATCTCTGTGACGTTCGTTCTCTGGCTTTCTGGTGTGCCTCGCGCGCAGAGGTAAGAGACAGAAAGAGATATAGAGACTCGGTAGTATCGTTGAAACGGTACATGAAAACTATTCCGGATCGTGTCCCGTCTTTTACCTCCCGTCGCACATTATCGCGATGTACGTCCACTTTGATTTTGTTTCGCTCGATATCTGCATGCTTTATCGACGTGGCTAGGCCGCTCTCCACACTCCAGATTGCTCTGGAATTCGTGACGTTAAGACGAATTTATTGTTCGCTCGAGTGTACACCGGGCAATTTTAATCTCTGCTCCGCGACACGTACCTGTTCTGTCAGCGTGTTTGATTAAAGGGAGCTCTCTTGCTGGCTAGAGCTGAGAAACTCCAAGACGGTTTTCTCGGCCTCTTCTTTTTGGTATAATAGAGATTCGTGTAGGTACGACCTGTTGGGTGGAATAGCGACTCAGTTGCTCGTTAGTAGAGTTTATTGAATGTCGTCGGTTCACTTGATTAAGATTCGACAACTGTGATGTTACCACCGAGAGATGTTTTCTAGATTTTACATATTGAAAAATCGCACTTTCGCATGTTGTAATCGACACTGACGGCGACGCAAGGTATCGATCGCGAACGTTGACCGATTTTTAGTTACCGATTACGAGGTTCTTTTGGTCTAATTCGATATGTTAGCGACACTGTGTAATACTTCCAGTTCTTTCGGTTCATTTTTGTTTTTTCTAGAAATATAATAAATGTACAATGGATACATGGTATTATCGTCGAAGCTAATACAGTAATTTGATCATACTGTAACCGAAGTATTTCCTAGATGATCGTGAAGAACAACATCGTTTGGTCGAACAGGGAAGATAAATCAAAGGTGAAATCGCGGCAATTTATCACGGGACAAAGCATCAATTTCCACATCGGAAAGAATTCGAATCATCGTGTTCGGATGGTTGTATAACGTTGAAGACCGCCTTTGCCACGAAATCGAATCAAATTCCAATTTCCTCGATACACGAGCCACGGACGGCTGTGGAAACGTGGCAAAAATCGCGAAAGTAACAAGATTAATCGGCCATTAAACGTATCCTCCTGTGAAATGGTACACAGTCAAGAGTGTATCAACCCCAGGGAAACGTATTCCTTTTGTTCAATACTAGTTACAGCGGAGCGGTAGAAAGAAAGGAACGAAACAGGGAACGATAGTAGTTAAGGGCTAAACCTGTTTCTCAGGCTCGCACAGCTGCTCCTGTATTTCGATCAAACGTCATCGGCTTTAATTAAGTCTCGAAAACGTCGATGTAATTGATCGTACCGACGACCACCGATTCGTTGTTCGCCCACAAATTAAAACAGATGGATTTTCTGCGAACGATTGCGAGACAGAATGACTACATCAGATTGTAGAACTTGCTCCCTGTGTTGGAGAATTATTAACGTAAGCTTCGAGGGAAAACGTGAAACGTTCTCAACGTGCCGATTGGATGCGGTGAATTGGATATGCTATCACGGGTACGTAGAGATATAATTAACGATATTTTTGGATAAATAAACGTGTCAAGAAAATTCTTAGGAGCGAAGATAATTACTTCTTTCGCAGAATTTCTTCGGCAATGTTTATGTTACTAAACACGATAACGCCGTAAAATATTGAAACATTTTTAGACACAAAAGAAATTACTCTAAAAAAAGACTAATAATACAAAAAGTGCTAAGTTGTGGCAAAATTTAATATTTTTTACCGTGGATTTGTTTTCAATAATTTTTCTCAAAACGTTACCATCGACGGCCCTATCTAGTTTTCCTCTTAGCTCATTTCCAATGAAAAGTCACCAATCTTGAATTTTGTCCAGCAACGTTGAAGTGTCCCCTAACATTTACATAATCTTCTTCAAATGCTAAATTTATATTTTCAGCAGTTTTTTCAAGTTTAAACTTATGCAACAAAATTACATTGTTCATCAAACAATTGTATTTTGAATTTTTTTTATAAAAATTCAGAAAACTTAATACATGGTACAAGTTTGCCAATTTCAGCTGTTGGAAAAACATTTCATTACCAACCTAATGGTACCTAATTCCTACTTCCTTCAAAACTTTTCAAATATCTTTACACTTGCATGTAAACTCGTAAATCTGCCTAAACAGCTACCTACCTAAGTTCCCAACGGAAACACCACTTCTACATACATAGAAAGCACCATAAGAAGGCCAAACAAACTTGCACGGAACCCTTCTACAATCTTCCTAACTCCTCATCCTATCCTAACACTATGCTCGTTAAAACGAAATCATTTACCAGAAGATCAACCGTGGTTCGTAGGTCGGACCGTGTGGCCGATTTTCCTTTCCCGGTTGCATTTTTCTAATTTAGATGGATGCGATAGCGTATCACGGAGGAAGAAAAGGTGAAGGGAAACGGTTGGCGTCGCGTGGCACACAGCCGTTTCATTTTCTTTCCCGTGGAGTGCCACGGCGTTCTATCGAAGGCCGTATGCTACACAGAGACGATTTTATCGAAAGGAAGAGCAATGTTATTTTTTTTTTCTCGATGAACAGTTTGACTTACCGAGCCGTAAAGAAGACCACAGGAATCCATGCATAGGTACAGGCAGGTCGCGACACCTTGGATCCTCAGTTGACCCCTGGACACGGACGTTCGTTGAAATATCGCTGGAAAAGAAGAAAGAAACGAGACGATTAATGTGGGCTTTTTAACGTGTTCACTGTTGATTAATTGTTATTGGATCTTAATTTCGCGGATAACTAGGTTATTTTTCCAACGGAATTTCTTCTTAGGTATGCGGTGGGATCTGATAAGAGCGAGCTAATTTGCTCGGAATAGGTGACCCTCTGGTGAAACTATAAATAGTCTTTTGCTGAACAGAGGAGTAACCATGTTTGCTTACCCTTTTCACGACTGAATTATTTCTTGAAGAATTTGTCGTTTATCTGTCGATTATCAACTTTTGTTTCAGTATTCAAATAGGACACATGCGTCCCATTGGTCGCAAAAGGGTTAAACATGACAATATTTTGAGATTTTGTATGAAAAGACAAATTATACAGATTTCAACCAACTATTACAAAGTAATGTTCTAAAATACATAGAGAAACCCATCTAATCATAATTTCTAATGAAACTTTATATTTTAGAATATTGCTTCTAAATTATTTCTTTTATCTCAAATAAATAATACTATAATTAGTTTCTAACTCGACTCATTCTTCGATGTTACATCTAATTTTGAGGCTGAATCATTGCACCTGAAATTAAACAAGACTCAATAGAGCACTGTTGGGTGATTCTGACTCCTCTACTTTTCACGAATAAGTCAGAGGTCTATTAGGGGCTTGCTAAGAAAAACATCGACCTTTTTTACCATTTATTTTCCGCATGCTAACCACATGGGTGTTCATATATATATATATAGACATATATGTATATCCTGCTATACCAAATGTAGCTTGTTTCTTGGCTCTAGTGCAGAATATAATTATTCCTGTTTTTCACCGTATGGAAATAAAATGTACATTTTCCAGCGAACCGACCGGTGTATCCTTCACCCGAAGGCATCCATTACGGAAATTGAAACACGCTAAGGGACGAGTAAATCGTTGTACTAGTTGAGAAAGGATCAGGGTTCAAGCCTAATTATTGGCAATATCACGAAGACATGTCGTAAGTAATAACTGTCGTTCCTTTCGTCCCTCTGCTCGTATTTTATAATCACAATTATTGCGTGTAACACTATCGGTGTGTAGTAACCTACTTGTTGGTAGGCTAAAAATAATCGTAAGAATACTGTTCGTGGCATCAGAGATTCAATTAAGGATTGGTCAAGGGAGAAAATGTGACGTATAAATAATTCAGCCACTCACAAGCCTTAAGTGATTAACTCTAGTTTTTGAAATAAAAAACAATTTTATAAATTTAATATGATGTGCAGTTAGTCACTTTGGCTCCCCTAGTGGCTCAGTTATGTCACGTGGCCCGCGCTGGAAAGAAACAAATTGAGGAAGAGTGTATTTTTGTAGTCTTCCTTTTTGAATGGATTCGAGGTACGTGGAAAATGACAGTCAATCTAACGAAATGTTTATCGTCTGTATTGTTGAAAAAGTACAAGCAGGCAAATTCTTATAAAATTTTGCGTAGCTTATGTGATATTTATAGTATTCTGCCTAATTTTGCAAGGCAGATATGTGTGTACATACAGGGTGTTACGTTGAAACGAGAATTGAAGCTATTAAAAAATGTTCCTACAAAAGTTGTTTGGTATAAAAGGGCACATTATGTGGTACAAATAATTTTTTTGTAGATGTCGTAGTGGGGGAGATATTACAGTCAAGTTAATATTTTTAAATGGAACATTGTATTTTTTAATTCACAATATTGTAGTAGCGTTTGTTGAGATGAATTCAATGATGTCCCACACAGAGTCATTTTGTTTTTCGTATTTTTGTTATCTTTTTTTTACAAATCTTCAAATGATCTATGTTCATATAACATTTTTCTTTTATTTATAACTATCGAGTACACTGACAAAGTTTGTTTGGAAAAAATTGGGGCACTCTGTATATAAGAGATCAAGAATACGTTATAAACTAACATAGGCTTGTAAATGCTAGTTTTTCTCATTCTACACGTACATTTGTACGATGTAGATTTCTTTAGAGAAATATTACGTTGTGTAAATTTTTGTAAAAATTTAAATTTTTTATTCTAACATACGGTGAACCTTTAAGATACAGGTACGTGTCTAAACTGTTACCGTTTGTATTATTATTTTAAAAGGCAATACATGATCAATACTATATCTATGTAAAACTCGAGTTACACGTTCGAAACTGGAACTTAATCGTATGCATATTTGTATATTGATATACTGATTCTATTAGTAAGATGTGTATAATTAATCGAAGAAACACGGCCAGGTTGTAAATTAAGCGAGCCGTGAACAAGGGTACACGCAAATGTGTAGAATAAATAAAAACGAAGAAGAACAATCAAACAAGAACTGCTGGAATCAAGAGTATTAATTTTCATGCTGGGTTAAATGTGCTTCTAGGAGATAGAATATGAATTCCCTTAAACTTTACGAGCTTATAATTTAAGTAACGAAGGATTTTGTCAAAATCAAGATAATTTTTTTCTCGTCTATACACACTATTAATTTACGAATGCGACGAAGTCTCTAATGTTTCATAAATAATGCACGTTTGCTTAACTTTATTTCCTTTTAATATAGAATTTTAAGAAATTTAATTTCTGGACGTTTACGCACTTGAAATATGTCGAAATGTGCGAATAAAGTATGCGAAATATGAAAACACAATATACACTGCTGTTTGTAATTATTAGGACACCCGTTGTATTTCTGTAGAAAGTATTACACGATTTAAATTACGTTGTGTTTCTATAGAAAGTATTGTATGACTTAAATTACATTTCTTTGCCAAAGTTAGTGTCATATATTAGCAAAAATATACATATGTATTCGTTATACTTCAAGATTCTGGAATAAATTTGTTTCTTTTAGGATCTTAATAATTTTGTAATGACGTTTGTGAGTCAAGTAATTTCATATTAAACTTGTAATGACAAAGAGGCTTGCTGCACATTGAGTAAGTAGATTTTAGTAAAATTTAGTAGATTTAAGTATAATAGAATTCAGTGGATTTTAGTAAATTTCTGTAAGTTTCAAAAAATTTGAATAGATATTAGTAAAATACAGTAGATTTCAGTAGATTTTATTAAATTTTTTATTAAATTGTATTACATTTTTCTAAATTTCTGAAGGTTTCAGAAAATTTAAATAGATACAAATAGAATGCAGTAGATTTTATTAGATTTTAGTAGATTTCAATAGATTTCAATATAGCTTCGTATTCATGTTTCATGAATACTAAGTAAGAGTATACATATCTCACTAAAGGAAATAATATTCTATTTATCACTTTAACCCAGACCGAACAGAGTAATTCCACCAATGAAACAGAATTTTATTAATAATCACCACCGCAAAATACAGAAACGTACCACCGCGACACTATTTAATACCGGTGCATAATATTACAATCCATCAAACACTGACTGTTTTCCGAACAAACTTTCTTCTCGGAAGCACTGAAAAGAACGCGTTCACTGAAACGAAACGGTATCTAGGCTCGTTACTTAATCCGGTTCCTTTTTTTTTTATTTCTCTCCCTCTCTCCACAAGTTTCTGCACAAGTTATCCTTTATTACCGACGCCCCTAAGCGTTTTTCCTTATCGCTCAGCTCGTTCAAGATGAACGCGATGCTGTCGTTACGATTAGACACGCGATCAGAAGCGCGTACCATGATCCCGACCACGCGACACCTGCGTCCTGTAAATTTTGCCAACATGTAAACTCCATTCGGACGTCTCCTTTTCTCCCTCTTGTCTTTTCCTTCTTCGCGCCCGCGTAATTAAATAAATACTTCATTTTCTCTGGTGGCGCGCGTACACACACACACACATACGTGAGACACCACTAGAACGAAGGAGAGTAATCGTGGTCACGTTTAAATGGAATTCAGGAGATGAGCGACGAGACACGTTCGCGGAATGGAATGAAAAGTTGCTGTGAAGTGGCAATTTGTTAATGTAAACTGACGTCTCGGGCTGCCCTCACGAAGGCAACTCGCGAAGCGTGTAATTTTTCTGCTTTCTTTGTCACACCTTCATTAAAACTACAGTACGCCTTTACTTTTTTGTACAACCTGTCGTGAATGAACAGCTGAATGAAAGATATGTAAGCATACGTTCAGAGCTCGTCTTTTTTCGATGTCCGGGTGAAGTTTCAGATTATTCGTCGCTGTTCTTAGTTTGTATATGTATTGTAGCGTTGTGGAAATTTCTATAGTACAGAGGAAATTGGAGAATGTTTATTCATCCAGTTTCGCGAAGTTGCAATGGCAACGTGACGTGAAACGGTGGCTTTAAACTCTGGTTGACGTAGGATAAGTATTAGGACACCTGTTGAATGTGAAGCACATGTAAACAGTCGTTACAGAATTATTGAGATCCAAAAACAAATTATTCTGTTTGAAATTTTATAGTATAAGGAGCACACTTAACACTTTCTTTTTAAATAGAAAATAAAGAGCTGCATCGACTGATATATTAAAAATTATATAATTCCATTTAAGGAAACGTATGTCATCTTTATATGGTTCCCCTTATGCCAAAACCATTTACTTTTATGCCATACACGTTCACTTTTTGAGTAAAGAAGTGGACTAAATATGACTAAAGTAGGAGAGAACAATAAAAAATATGTTTATGGTTAAATTTAAGTCTGGAGTGAAGACTAATGTCAACTAAAAAGCTTGACAAATTTCATCTCGAGAATCCTCCGATTACATTTTACATTCAATCGTGAATTTCCATAATTTATCGAATCGCACATTCACGGTACTGGCATAAGGGGGACGATATATTTTCTAATCGTCCATCTACAGAAAACCTAATTATACCACATTATGTCACCCTCGAGACTATTCAATTCCTCTCGAAACAATCTCTCATACAATGGGTAGTTTACGAGTAAATCGCATTTATAGATATCCCTGAGCAACCGTGAAAATTACCCTATCAATAAATACGTGTAACATCAGAATTAAGTACCACTTACCCACGTTAATCATCGTAGCAAGCGGAACACAAAGAAAGAAAAACACACCACGTGTCGTTCATTAAAAAATTCTCGATATCGATCTGAAATTTACCTAACGAAATTTAACTACCACGAAGTGTCGACTCCCGTTCCGAGTTAATGCATGAATGATAATACGACTATATTTCGCCAGAACTTTTTAATATTCATACTCGTAATCGTGTTCGCGTGCGAGGCCAGTCGAGGCCGGCGAAGTGGGGAGCAGCAGATCGAGGAGGAAAGAGGCAAGACAACGAGAGATCAGCTCTTGGACCCGATTGAAATTCTTAATTAACCAGAGAACTATAATTTTCCCGCTACACCGTGGCTGACAACATTCAATACGTGACACACGACGACGAAAGAGACCTCAAACTGGCAGATTACAACCCTTGATGCCTTGAGCCACCGAGTCGATCAGAGAGACAACGTGGTCCTCACGGATTCTTCCCGTTGGTTATAAATTACAAATCTGTAATCACGTATTTTTTCCATTCGCGTTACCGTAGATAATCTGTCGAACGTACCCCTTCTTCCTTTTTGCCTCTTTAACGTGGATTTTTCACCGGTTCCTGCGCACCTTTCCTTCCAACCCTCGTCGAAGAAGACGGTTCCGTTCTTAAAAACTTGATTGAACACTGGCAAATTCGTTTCGTATGCTCGAAAATACTTTAGTTGTTTGCGTTTCCACGATGGGTAGTTTGTTGCTCGCTTTGCGCGGTAAGCAAACATGTCTCTAGGGGGAATTAAACAGCGACCTATTCCGGTTAGAAATTAAAGTAATGTTTCACTACTCGTCGCCTCGAGAAATTGACAATCACGGTGTTCCTCGTTCAGGATGGTCATTATGGCTGGTGCGATTCGCGCTACAGTGGCGAAAAATCAGCCGGATTGCTACCGCCCGTGATCATATAAACGGGATTATTGATGGCTCGACGCGGTAACGGGTGTTATTGACGCCAGGACAGAATAAGATTGATGCTGTGGAACGTGGTCGTTGGGAGTTTGACATGGGGTATCGATAAAACGCCGGCATAATTGTCCTAAGAGTGGTACAGCTAAATTGACTAGGTTAGACGTACTGATTTATTCGGTACAGCGGTGATTTTAAAGGCTCTGTACTGACTCCGGTTTTACACCGATTTTAAGAAACAGAACTGTAAATGTGCTGAAAAATTTGCACTGCTCGTCGAAACAATTGCAACATCTGAAAAACGGAATTGTACAGGTCATTTTTTTATTTCCATTTTTGTTCAATTTTTAGGTGTTGCAAATTTTTTGGCGAGCTATGTATGTAATGAAAATATTTAAATATCTTTTATATGTTCCTAGTACAAATGCACCAGTTGAAAAAGTGTTTTCAATCATTAGTAAAATTTGGACAATGAGAAGAGGCAATTAGAGTTAGATACTTTGACAAACATTGATTGTAAAGTGCAATATTAATGTAAACTGTGGTCAGTTTTGTGAAGAAATTTAAAAAAATGAAGAATTATCGAAGGCTGTTTCTTCTTCAAATAAATATGTGTAACTATTGTTTAGGTATTAAGCAATCT